GACGGAGCCCAAGAGGAAGGCTTGGGCTTTAAACCAACTTTGGACAGGGCCGGGGTGGACCCTTGAAGTTTGCAGGACCCTGTACTTTAAGGTCGGGGCGTGGAGATGTTCAGCTGTTACTCGTTGAGGTCGTGGCCCCAATTGTTAAGTGTGGGGTTTGGTGCTCTTTGTGGAGTCTCTTAACCTGATTGGATTTGCCGTAAGTAATCAAGTTAATTATCCTAATTATAATGTTTAGCTGGGAGCCAAGTGCAGTACTTCTGTCCTTAGGTAGAATTTCCTTGGCTTTATTGGCTTTTTGTCATTCTCTTCTACTTCTTAGAAAGTGGTATCAGATTTCCTTTTCTTTGTAATGATGATTCTTTACATTTATTTGGTAATGCTTTAGTGTACAAGATATTTTGCCTACATAGGTCCTCCCACAGCCTGGTTGGTAACCTGTGGCCCCAGTGCGTTCTGTAGGAGAAATGACAAAGTGCCCTCCAGGACCCAAACCAAGTGACTCCTGTTCCAGTGCCCTTCCAACAGTTCCAGGCCGCCTGGTCTGGTGTAACTTGTTCCAAGTCTCGTTAGCAATAGGATTTTCTATGGAAATTCACAGAGATAATGTGAAACATGTAATTTGGCTCTACTTTTGGGATTCAGTGCCTCAGCTGCAAAATTGGGACTGTACGCTGAGATTTTAGAATGCCTGGATAAAATGAATTGTTCAATCACTTGTGTAAGTTTGTTCAGGTGGGTTTTGTGCCAAGTCCTGTTGGTTCCACCTTTGGAATGTTCTTAGAATTGACCCTTCCTGTTGACCTTCCAACTTTTCTGGTTTGGGCTCTCCCCATGGCTGGAGGATTGTAGTTGCCCTTATCTTGTCCCCTCTGTTGACCTCCCAAGTGGTGCACTGTCATCTTCTGAAGCTTTCATCTGCTCTTAACACAGTGCCCCTCAGGTAGCCTCATCCTAACCTCCATGTGACACATCTGGAGCATCTGTTGCAAGGCAGGTAGTGAGCCTGGTGGAGGGGATACGCAGCTGAGAGGCTCTGGTTCTCGTCCTTAAGGCCACAGCCTTGTCTCCTTCTCTGTTCCCTTCTCCCCCAGGCACCAGATCATCAGAAAAGACAGACTACTAGCATTGGTGTGTGTTTTAATCTTGACCTGGAATTCTCTTTCTTGTCCACTGCTTCTGTCTGTTAAAGTCATACATGTCCTTCAGGGTTTGGTTCAAAGGCCATTGCTTCCTTTTAGTTTTTCCTTAGCCTTGTAAGGGGAGGAAAAATTCTCTTTGATTCTCTAGCACTTTATTTATTAGGAGCTTTATGCTGGTGTGTTGTGTTCTGGTTGTGTGTGTGTGTGTGTGTTTGTGTCTCCAGGCTCCCTGAAGGGTCAGCTCCTGAGGGTAGTTTATTTCCATTCAGTGTTGGTCACAGTGGGGCCTGCCTGGTAAATGTTTGGTGAATTATGTGGAGTGTGGACACAAAGGTGGACGTTGTGTGGTTATTGGTGGGGTGGATCTCTGGGTTCTAGGGTTTCCATTTCCTAGCCCATTGATGTTCCAGTGTGGTGACCACTTCCATGTCTGGGTGGTTGGAAAACTTGAAGAGTTCTCAGCTGAATCCTCTGGGTAGCCACTCTGGACTCAGATCTGCCTGTCTCCGGGAGCACAGTCAAGCAGGATGGGGCACCATGCAGAGCCACGCTCTCTGGAAGGTTCTCTTTGGAGCCTAGGCTTTGGGCTTTGGCTGGCTTAGCTTGAAGAAGTTGGTGGGCAGTGTTTCCAGTTGGTCAACAGAAGAGATGTTTCCAAGGTTACCCCACTGGACCAGGTGAGTGAAGTTGTGATGTTGCACGAATGGCCCATGGTTTAGTATTGCCCATTAGGAGAGGCCTGCTCCTCCAGTAGAGCCTGCTTGACGGCCTTCTACTGCTGGGCCACCTCTGCCTTTGGCTAGGTTACTGATTCCTGGCCAGTCATTTGATTCCGGGGTAGCAGGACCACATGGTTGAAGAGCTTTGGGCCTGGTAGGCCCCTGGGAGAAGGCTTGCACAGAGCTTGTGTGACTCACCCAAGTTCATCTGTGTGCCACCTGCCTGCTGGGTGACGTGGCAGAGCTGGGTAATGAGGAATCAGGCTGTTGAATTACTGTAGAGCTGGAGCGCTCAGCTTTAGGTCAGCTGTGAAGATCAGGTTGAACCTATCTAGTCAAGACGTTTTCTCGTTACTTGAAGATTTTTACATTTTCTGATATTCAGCTGTTTTGCATGTTTTTGGGTTGTGATACACCATTTACTGTTCTTGAAGGCCTTGCTGTTGAGGTTTGCCCAGGTAGCTAAGTGGCTACTTGATGCATTACCTTCTTGAGGACATCATTGCAGGTGGACTGCTGGCCTGGCAGAGGCTCTGTTTTAAGGCCCCTTGGTGTTTTTTGGTGTCTTTGGAACTTTGAGCTAGTAAAAGAGATTTCCATCAGGCCAGGAACACAGGGGTTGTCTCTATAGGCAGGGGACATTAGCATTTGATTTGTTCTTTTTTGTAACTCTGTCCACCTGTTAGTCATTCTTTCCAGTCTTTTCTCCTCTGAGATGTAGTCTCACTTGGAGAAGGGCCATATCAGCTGTGGGGCCCACGGGCTGGCCTTGAGTACTCCTGTGGCCTTTGTCCCGGGGTGTTGGCAGCAGCTCTCCACAAAGGAAGTTTCACTGTGGGCTTCATTGTTAATTAGTTGCTGGAATTCTAAGAAATTCAAAATGAAATGATGTTTCAGCAAATTGAACTTCCTGAAGTTGCTTGTTCAAAGTGAGGTTGTGTAGGGGGGTAATTGACATTGTTGAACAATGATTTTCTTTTTAAAGGTAAACTCAAGATATTTGTAAAATAAATATGTATCAGAGATTTTGTTTGACTTATTAAATGAATGAGGGAACTGGAAAAGATGTTCTAACCAGTTCACAGGAAAACCAAAAACCATAAAACTGTATGCAGTGAAGGAATGTTAAGATAAATCTCTAAGATAAAAAAATGTTAAAAAAAAACCCAAGATAAATTTCCAAGAGCTATAGGGTAGCAGTTGGATCTCTCAAAACACAATTTGCATTTCTGTGGACAAGAATTTGCAAAGGCACACACCCTGTAGGATCAGCTAATGCCTGTGGACTCCAGCATTTCATTGAAAGGGTATCTAATCATCTCTTTTGCTCTTTCTAAGTCTTAAATTTTTCCTTCGGGTGTTGAATTTATCTCTAAAGTGGGGTAATGGGCCTTGAGGGCACAAGGGGTTGTTGTGAGGTTTGACTTATATTAACATTTATAAGTCTCCTTGGTAGATGCTTAGTGCATGGGTTTGTAGCTGTTTTGCCCTAAGCAGGTGGGAGCTCACTCCCAGGAAGTTGCTTAGGAGGCAGCCCCACATGAGTTCCTGGCTGCTTGTACCCTGACCTTGTTTTGCTGTTTGTGGTCTAACTGACCTTGACTGGGGCCCAACTCCGCCCCTGGTCCACTCCGGAGTACCTTCCCCTTTTCTTGAGATGGCAGGCGCAGTAGTATGACGCCTGTCTCTTGTTCTTTTTACTCATGGACTGTTCTCCATCTAGTAAGTCCTTCCCGTGGCAGATGAAGGCTCTTTCATGTTCTCAACTTTGCCCTCTTCCCATACTCTCTGAAGCAGGCTCCTGCAAAATGAGGGCCCGTTGGGACTGGTTGGACAGTGCTGCTGTGATCTGCTGTCTAGAGGTTACTTCAGACTCCCCCCTCTTCTGTTGGCTTTGGTGGGGCTCTGGATGATAGACTTGCTGTGTCTCTGAGGTTCCTTCTGATGCCACCAACTTGAAGGGGACGGTAGTCAGTCCCCTGCCTTCTAGATTTTAAACTTGTGTGAAAAGTCACTGAAGCCAGAAACCTCTGTTTTCTGCTCGTAGTGTACATCTGGGCTCTGTCTTTTTCTAGGGTCTCTCCTTTCTGATTACCCTACCCTGGGGTTGGCCAGGAATCTTTCAATGTTTATCTACAGACCGTTTCTGTGAGGCTGACTTAAGTTGCTGAGTGTTGTAAGCCTTTGTGTAGTAGGATGTAGGGAGTGTTAAAAACAACAGACCCAAGGTGGAGTCGCTCCTGCTAAGCCCCCATCACCAGACCGATGCTTATTTATTACCCTTTTGTCTCTCCCAGAAATGGAATCTTAACCCAGTCGATCAGAGTGGCCTGACCAGCGCAGTTAGGTTGTCTCCCTGGTAGATGCCTGCCATCCCCTAAAGGGAAGTAACCTTACAGTAACCAACATGCTTTTTTGCCTGGTGTAACTTCCTCGTTTCCGCCCTCTTCTTGCTATAAAAGTCTTTCATTTTGTACAGCTCCTGAGCTCCTTTCTATCTGCTAGATTGGATGCTGCCCGATTCGAATTGATTTTTGCTCAGATAAACTTCCTAGAGTTTGTAATGTGCCTCAGTTGATCTTTTACCAGGAGGAAATGGTGATGCCACAGTCAGGGATGAAAGGAGGGAGGCTCTGCTGATAAATAGCTTCTGGGCCCCAGGATAAAGTGCAGCTCTGAGGTTCAGTGATTATGTGCCTGTGGGCACAGTCCCCGCCTTGCACTGGTGTTGGTGAATTGCTGTGCCTAATTTACAGCTCTAGGAAGTGGGCTGAAGAGGGAGTAGGATATGGTATTAATACGTTTTGTGTTTTTCTCCCCGTTTCTTGACAGAATAACCAAGTGCTGGGAATTGGAAGCGGTTCTACAATTGTCCACGCTGTGCAGCGAATAGGTATGTTCCCAGCCTGTCTGCTGGATGCTCGGGTCGGGTAGGGGGCAGGGGAGGGCCGTGGAGGTGGAGGAGGAAGTGGGACACAGGTATGTTCCCGGGCTGCCTCCTTGGTGCTTCGGGTGGGGACGTGGAGGGGGATGAAGTGGGGCACAGGCTTGGCACCTGCCCAGGTTGGTGCCAGCAGCGTGGAGCCTGGTCAGGTGAGTGTGCCTGGTCTTCCCTGAGTGGGGTTGTTGGGCCTCTTCAGCCAGCTTGGGGGGTGCCCTGGCTTAGTTTCCTCTGCCGAGCTGGAGGGGAGGAGCTGACATGGTGAGGTCTCCACAGAACTGGAATCATCAGTGCTGTTACGTGCGTGTGTGTCCACGTGGATCCCGAGGCACGCCCTGCAGAGCTGGGGCTCCTCAAACAAACAAACCGGGGCCCACGCAGGCTCGCCCTTTCTGTGACCTGGAGTGGATTCCGGGAGGTGAGATGCCTGCAGTTGGGGGCTGGCTCCCGCAGGTGCTGACTTCCTTCTGATTCGGTGTCTCTGGGCTCAGGAGAGGCTCTGGGCTCACGAATGATCGAATGATCGAATGATCGGCCCATGGCTGCTCAACAGGTTTTACTGCCCTGCTCTTGTTTGGGGGAACAAAGCGCAGAGGAGAGGCTTGCCTGAAGGCTGATCTAGTGCGGGAGACAGCCCAGGAACCGAGCGCTGCGTCTTTGAGGAGAGACTGTGGTGTGGGTGTGATGGCTTCTGGAACCCTTCTCCTTGGCCTCATAGGGACCTTAGTGTTTTGCACAACTTTCTGCCGCAGCACCGAGCGTGTGGAGGATTTTAGGACACAGGAAATTACTGTGGATTTCATAAGAGTGGCATCTAAATCTCCCAAGGTGCATACTCAGTGATTAAAGAGACTTGAAATTTTAATAAGATAGTTTTTCCCTGTCGACTGGAGGGGGAAAGAAAAAAGTGCTACCTGAAAGTGGAGAGTCCTGTTTTACTTGGGGATTCGGGGCATTACTGAGGGGACGCCTGGGACCGAGCCTCCTACACCGCTCTAGAGGGAATGTTAAGAAGAGGTAAAGGAGGAGCTGGATATACAGGAGTTTTGCAAAAAGAACCATGCAGTCAAACATCAAAAGATTATTGCTAATTAAAGAAAAACCAGACATCTCATGGTAATGGATTTACTGCTTTTCTGTGTATGGGCGGATACAAGAGTCTGGGCTTAATAAAATTATTCCTTTGATGTGCATCTTAACTGTCTAAGGCCAGTGTTGTGTTTTTCTCCATCCAGAATCCTCTTGGGTTGCACCGCCTGGGGCGGCTGCAGTGGCTGATGACTTGATGGCTGCAGGATCCTTTGTTTACTGAAATGACAGGCCACCTTCTTTGTCCATATGCCTTGAGACTTTTCTTTTTGTTTAAGTCACGTTTTCCTGAAAGGTAGAAATCCGAAATGAATAAATGAGCCCTCTTTAACCACCCTCTGGGGTCTGTAAATGATTATATGTTTCACTAAATGTAAAAGTCAAGTTCTAGCTTTTTTTCTATAAAAGGCAGTTGAGGGAAGTGGTCAAGACTGTGGCACTAGGCTGCCTGGGATCAGATCCCAGGTCTGCCACTTGTCAGCTGTGTAACCACCCAGTTCCTTTACGGCTCTGTGCCTCAGTTTCCTCTTCTGTAAAATGGGGATAATAGTTGTAAATTCTCTTTGGGTGGCTAGATTAAAAGAGTTCATATGTACAAAGTTCATTTGAATACTGTCAGGCACGTAATAGCAAATCCTGACATAGCCAGTCCTCTCTCCCTGGTTAGCAGTCACCTCCCCAGGCTTTCCTTTCCCTGTCTCGTGACACATGAAGTCTGTTCACCAGCTTTTCCACCGAGGATGGGGACAAAGAATGAAAGGCGCCTGTGTGTGTGGTGGGGGGGTGGTTAGACCTTTTCTGTTGGATTTGAGCAAATGTGCATGTGACAAAGGGAAATGAGGTGAGGAGAGTGAAAAACCACCAACCCGGCTTTTGTCTCCACAGCTGAAAGAGTGAAACAGGAGAATCTGAACCTCGTCTGCATTCCCACTTCCTTCCAGGTACGGCCTGCGCTGCACTCTGCATTTCGGCGGCTGCCGCTGAATCTTCTGGTCCCTGCGGACGTGGGTCTGGGGCTCTGGCTCGTGCCGGGGCTGTCCCGGGTGGGAGAGCCGGGAGCCGGAGAGGGGTTTCTTGGCTGGGGACTGCCCCTCAGAAGCGTGCTTTTCGATGCGTTCGTTTATTCCCTCCGAATAGTTCAGTGTGTCTTGTGTAAGGCACCCTGGAGTCGATAGAGACCATGTGGACTGTGTCCTCAAGGAGAATTGTCTCTACTTATAGATGGAAAAACCGAGGCTAAAGGCCATTAAGTGATGTGTCAGGAGCGCAGGTATGGTGTTTTGAGTCCATGTCTAATATATGCTCTTTCACCGTAAAATAGTAGGGGCTGGTGAAGGCAAACAGTGGAGCCAGTTAAATACAGGGAAAGATACGGGCAGAGTAGACTTGGGAGGAAGAGAGGTGCCCAGGTAGAGCCCCGTCCCTCACCTGGCCATCGTGGGGAGAGGCACGTGTGTGAGCTCTCGTTGGATTCCTCATGGTGATACTGTCACCTGGGCTTGAAGGTTGGCACTCCCGGTGGCTGGTGCTCCTGTGAGTTTGTGGACTTGGTTTGGGACAGAAACTCTCACTCCTGGAGCTCAGCACTGGCAGCCTGCAGGCAGCTCTGGGGAGGGGGCCGAGCTTCCTTCTAAGCCAGGTGTGTGCCCAGCCTGTCCGAGCAGGGCGTGGAGGAGGGTTCCGGGTGGACGGGCTGGGAAGTTAGGGTGGTGCCTGCTGTTAGAGCCTCGCTGCTACATGTCTTGGAGACGCCAGGCAAGCTGGGAGGGCGCCCCGGGGCGGAGGACAGTACCATCATTCCTGCTTCAGGCCAGAGAATGAAAGAGGTTTTACAGGCCTCTTTTGCTTTTGAAATCCTGCTGTCTTGAGGAGACGCTTTCAAAGTCAGAGTGGTTCTGGTGACTTGTCTTGGTCTTTTGAAAAAGCTTAGTGCCTAATTTTTCCAAGTGACTTGATCATCTTTATTTCTTATTTAGTATATTTGATGTTGGTGTTTATTTTTAATTAAAGTTACACAAATACATGAATTGAAGAATCAAATCTTTTTATTAAAAAGCAAAACACTCCCCTCACCCTCCCCACCCCTGACCACCACCATTTCTTGCTCTTCAGACAGCTGTGCTTTTAAAGCTCTTTTTAGCTGATGGGATATTTGCTCCAAAGTCTAGAAACTACATGCTTTTCTTGTAATTTAAAAAATGTGTTCACCTTCAGGTCATAATTCTACACTGAATGGATGAAGGGAAGATGCACATTGGCGCCTTTTCCCTCCTTGCTCTCGCAGTTCATGCACGCCCTTCTCCCAGTCGTCCGGTGCAGTCACTGTGCCAAGGCCTTGCTCGGTGTTCGCAGGATCGTGATGTCCACACTACAGCCGGGCTGTGCAGTGCGCTGCGATTACTCTTCTTTTTCTGCCCGTTATTTGTTTTCCTGAAAGCTTTTGTTCTAAGATTTTTTTCTCCTTCTGTATCTGCTTCCTCAAAGTGTTTTAAAGTTTGTTGGAGATATGTTATGTACAAAAAAATTTACCTTCTTTTACATGTAATTCTGAGTTTTCATGAATACTCATATAAACAACCAGCGGAGTCAGATATTATTAGAATGCTTTGGCCTTTTTTTTTTTTAATTCCAGCATTTCTTATTCTGGGGCTTTTTAGCTTTCCGCTCGTTTTGAAGGCTGGAGGGCTAAGAAGCTGATTGGAAGCTAGCTCTCAGGATAGGGTGGTCTTTGTCCTCATCTTGTCTGCCAAGCTCTCATCTTGGGAAGCTCCTGATGTCAGATCATCTTTCTTTCCTCTGGCTGATCGGGTTTCCTCCCCTTTTAGGAGGGGTACGTGTGGCTGCCTGTGTCCTGGGAGCCAAGTGGGAGGAGAGGGCTATCAGACACCTGCTGTAATTCTAAACATAAACTTGCTGTTAATTCCGTTTTCAGCGTAGGACCTGTGGTAGATGGGAAAGAAGTGCCCGCTACCTTTGCAGTATTTCTTTGACTCGGGGCTTGATCGTGTGACTGTTCTGCCCATGGGACGTGGCCCAGTGGACTGCCAGCAGTGGCTTGAGAAGTGCTTTGCTTTGGGGCTTGGCCCTTTTGCTGCTGAAATCATTCTACTGCCATGTGAACAGGCCTTGGCTTCTGTCCTGGAGGATGAGAGGCGTGTGAGTAAGCCCAGACCAGAGACTTCCAGTCAGTCCGTGGAGTCATAAGAATTACAAATACTTGTTTTTTTCAGCCTCTGAGGTTTGGAGTAGCTGCTGCGCAGCAGAAGCTCGCAGATGTAGAGCCCTTATCTCCGGTGGTGCCAGGCAGCCCAGTCTGGAGACCTGCTGTTTGACCTTCTCCAGAGAATAAACATGCTGCTTTGAGAGCAGTGGGGAGAGACACGGAGCTGTAACAGGGTCTTAAATAACCCTTCAGCCAGTCTTCCCTTTTTCATTCCCGCTGTCATGTCCTCTTTCTGAAGTTCACGTTGCTGCTGAGTCCTGAACCTCTTGAGAGGTTCTGTGCTGTTTATTTGATTACTTCTTAGCTCTTTCCAGTGCTGGCTCAGGGTTTCTCTTTCTCATTTCTGCCATTTACCATTGTCCGTCAGTGGTCTACGTTTAAGTTTGTTGCTCTTTTCTTCTTTTTGCTTTATGCTTTTAAGAAAAATTCCTCTATTGTACTTTTACAGAGATTTTTGGGAAAGAGCTGAGCTAAATACAGGTGTTCAAATTGGAAGTTTGATCCTGTGTCTTTAAGATAGCATCCTCCTGACCCACCTATGTGTGATGATGGTGATTAATAACCATGTTACTTAACCGTTTAACCATAGTCATTAATAACCCCAGGCTGGAAAACGCTGGCCAATTCTAGTTGGTCAGGTGCAGGAGTCATTCACAGTTCACAGGACTTTTAGAAACTCATTTGTTCACAGTTACTGTTCCCCTCCCCCCTCATTTTGTGTGAAGTTTAGCCAGATGCAGTCTCCTGAAGTGACTGAAAGGAAACCAAAACGACAAACAAAAATCATTTTCTCTACCTCTTAAACAAGTAAATCCATAGGGATTTAAAGAATTTTTGTAGATTTTCCCTTTAAAGTTAAAAAACCAGTGTTTATTCCCACTGGCCTTCAGTCTACCTCTGTTAGGTGATTGAAGGGAAAATGCAAAACTTTCAGGTTTTACTGTGAAGCTGATGAGAAACAGGAGCGCTAGCCTGCCTGACGCTGCGCGCTTGACCACGAGAAGCCTGTGAGGGCGCCAGCTGTGGGACTGCAGTAAGGCGTTGCTTCCCGTCTTTGTTTCTAAAGGACAAGCTAATCATTAGCTTTCCTGCTCCCTGCACTTTCAAGAGCTGGAAGAGACAGACAGACAGGGGTGTTTGCCCCCCACCCTCAGGAGCCCCTCAGCCGGTGAGCTTGGGGTGTCTGGTGTCCAGGAGACACCGATCCTGTCGAGCACCTGTGGCCGCAGTCGTGCTGGCTGAGCCGGTGACGGGTCTGTCCCCCACAGTAGTAGGGCTGTGTGTCGAATTCGGTATATTGTGTCCTAGGGCTGCTGTAACACGGAGCTGCCGACTGAGTGGCTTGAAAAACAGAAATTTGTTGTCTCCCAGTTCTGGAGGCTAGCAGTCCGAGATCAAGATGGTGATTCACTTGGAGGCCAAGGAGGAGAGTCTGTTCTCTCTCCCAGCTTCTGGTGGTTCGCTGGCCATCTCTGGCGCTGCTTGGCTTGTAGACACATCACTTTGATCTCTGCCTTCGTGTTCACTTAGCCGTCTCCCCCTGTGCACCTGTCTGTGTACAGATTCCCCGTCTAAGGATGCCAGTCGTAGCGGGTTAGGGCTTGCCTGCGTGACTTCGCTTTAACTTGATGACCTCTGTGAAGACCCTGTCTCCAAATAAGGTCACGTTCATAGGCACTGGGGGTTAGGACCCCAACATGTCTGTTTTCAGGGGAGCGCAGTTCAGCCCATAACACCCAGGAAGGGCGAAGCTCATGCCACTTGTGATTATGACTTCTGTGTGCAGGGCCGTTCGCAGGGGCCTTGTGGGGAGTCCAGGCAAAGATGGGAAGAAGGGAGAGTTGGAGGACCTGCTGGTGGAAGCAGGCCTGAAGGGTCCCACCCCAGTGGAGTCCTCGAGGTCGTTGTACAGGGTCCTCCACATTGTGAACGGGGAGGCAGACTGTTTAAAGGGAGATGAGATCGTGTTCTGTTGTTGCTCATTGGGAAGGTGAGAGCCCCGTGGTGGGGCAGGGAGGTCACAGCAGGCCGCCCAGCCACACAACGTAGACAGTTGATCTACTGGGCCCCTTTCGTGTGCCGGACTCTGGGCAGGTACTGCGGCGTGTGGCAGGTGGTGGCAGTGAACAGGCAGATTTCACTTGGCGTGGTGATCACTGAGGTTGTACGTTTCTAAAGGGATGTGCGGCTCCTTGTGCATGGGGTGTTACTCACTGTTGCCAGGGTCCAGGGTGGTGCCTGGCTCTTAGTGGGTACTCTGGGTTTGTTGGATGAATAAATGCTGCCTTACGTGTGTCTTTTTTTTTTTCTCACAAATATATGGTAGAGAAGAGGTAGAGATAACGCACCTTTTAGAGGAAGGCGAGCACTGCTTGTCCCGGGGACTGGGGGCTTCCTGGAAAGCAGGGGCTGGCGCTTGGGAGGAGGCAGGGCCATCTCAGGTGGAGGAGGGAAAGCCAAGGAACTCCTTTTAAAACTGTTACTGTTAATAGCATGTTACCATTGTCACGTAGGATGACGTCAGTTCCTGTATTTATAAGCGGGGGCTGTCCTTTCCTTTCCTTTTTCTTCTACGTTCCCTCTGTATTCCTTTCCTAATTTCCTTCCTACTCCCTAAACAGGAGGACAGTGTATTTCTGGTCTGCATTCTGTCCCTAATTAGCACTGTGACCTCTGAGCATCCATTTCTTTTCTTAACACAGGAGTTTGTACTAGGTAATCCCTTCTAGACTGATCTCAGAATGATTGGTTATTTACCCAGCTTTGGACTCCTGACCCTAACTGCTGTAGGGTGACAAGCGTCTGTAGAATGTGTCTCATACTCTGGTTACTGTCTAGATGAACACACAGGACGTCCTCATGAAACAGTAACTTTAAACGTATGAAATGTTAAATTAAAATGATATATTTATGGAGGACTTTTTTCCACAGGAATCATAATAGAACAGTTTCCTGACATCTAGTTTTCGTATAATACATCAGAATTCTGTTCAGTGTTGTTTCTGAAGTATACAGAATTAACAGGAAATCAGAGTACACCACAGTTTTATTTGCATGATGGAATATCACACTGACGTGCGTGTTATTTTTCTAACAATCATCTGTAGTAGATATCTGTTGCTGTGGAACAAATTACCCTCGATTACTTAGCTTAAAACAACAACATTTATTAGCTCACCTTTTCCAAGGGTCGGGAATCTGGAGTGATTTCGTTGCGTGGTTCTGGCTTTGGGTCCCTGGGGAGCGGCAGTCAGGCCGTGGGCCAAGGCTGCAGTCATCTCGAGATTCAGCTGAGTGTGGAGGGTCTGCTGCCAAGCTTACTCACGTGGCTGTCGGAGGCCTTCACGCGTCGCAGGTTTGGTGGTGGGCCTGTCCCCAGGGCTGTCTCTGGGTCTTCAGGGCTCGGCAGCTGGTTTCCCCCAGTGTGTGTGATCATGGGGGTGGGGGGAGAAGGAGGGAAGGATCTTGTTGAAGCATGTCCCACTCCCCTCCCCCCAACGTCTGTCTAAATTGATCTCAGAAGTGTCCTGACATCACCCATCACCTCTGCTGTGTGCCAGTGGTCAGACAGAACAACCCTGGGACACAGTGGGCAGCGGTGGCCCAAAGGTATGAATACCAAGAGCTGTGGGAGTCTTGGGGGACTCATTGTCCAGACGTTGCAAGCGTTTTTATAGCCTCAGGTTCTGGAATGAGTGTGGTTTCTCCTGTACTACTTTTGGAGAAACCTAGGAACTAAGAAATAATTCAGTAATACTGTTTTTATTGTGGTTTTCTCTCTTTAATAAGAATTTTCTCTCTTTCTTTTTAATAAGAACAAAATCATGGGGTTTTCTTTTTTGAACTTGCTTTTATTAGTCAGCATTTTGTTCTTTTTTTAATTATAGAAAATTTAAAACTTTAATAAGGATAAAGAGTAATATGATGAACTTCCATGTACCCATCACCTGGTTTCCACAGTTACCAATTCATGGCTAATTTTGTTTCATCTGTACCCCATTCTCCTCCACCTCTGTATTTTAAAACAAATCCCAGGCGTAGGTATGGTTTCACTCTATGTATCTCATTATGTCTCTCTGAAAAAAAGGGAGACTTAAATATCTCAACAGTACTAAAAAGAAAATTAACAGTAGTCTTTAATAGCATCAAATAAATCCAGGGTTCACATTTCCCCTATTATCTGATCTTTTAAAGGTATTTTTTATTAGAATCAAGATCGAAATAGGTCCCCTATACTGCAGATTCCAGGGTCTTTGTGTTACTGTTACAGTCTTAAAATTTTGGATTTGAAGATTGACTTCGGTCATTTCACCCATCCCCAGCTTTGTGTATGTCGGTGCTGACCTTCCCCACAGACATCCTAACCCTTCCCCAGGCCCGTGCTCTCCGGTTGCCGAGCTCCTCACTAGCCATTCTGGGGGTCCTGCCTTTATGTTCTCTTCTGAGTGTTTATGTTCTTTTGCTTATTCTTACTCAACAGTAAAGCCTGGAAATCCCTATGTATCAATTTATAATGATCTTCCTCAGTCTTTTTATTTTAAAGATGTATCTAATATTTTATAGATTTGGCTCTTAGTTTAGGAAGTTTAAAAAAAAATATGGTTGCCACCCCTCATCCATGGGGAGTACGTTCCGTGACCCCCATGGATGCCTGAAACCGCAGCTGGTACTGAACCCTGTACATACTATGTTTTTTCCAAAAATACATAAGATGAAGTTTAATTTATGAATTAACGATAATAACTAATAATAAAATAGGACAGTTACAACAATGCACTGTAGTAAAAGTTAGGTGAATGTGGTCTCCCTCCTTCTCAGATTTTCCTGTTGTACGAATCTAATGCCCCTTCTGTCTTAACTAGGCACTGTTGTTGCACTGTGGTTGTAACTTTTGCTGTTTGAGATGTGACAGCAAAATTAGCAGGAATTTTTTTCTTCTTTACAATGTCACAGATGGCAGATTTGTTCTTACCATATATCTTAGCAACCTCAGTGTGTGACATTTTTTCTTTCCTTGCTAAGTTGACGATTTTCACTTTTTCACTTAAAGGAAGCACTTTACGGCTTGTCTTTGGCACATCCGGATTGCCAGCATCACTGTTGCACTTTGGGGTCATTATCTTGGAGATACGGCAAGATTGGTTCCATTCTGCCGCAATGAAGCGATTATCACAGTAAAGCAAGTCGTGAATTTTTTGGCTTCCCAGTGCACATCAGTTATGTTTACACTACATTGTAATCTAGTAAGTGTGCAACAGCATTATATCTGAAACAAAGCAAAGTACATACTTTAATTTTAAAAATTGCTAAAAAATGCCAAAACAATTACAGTATAACATCAGAGATCACTGATCGCAGATCACCCTAACACACATAATAACAATAATGAACAAGTTTAAAATATCGCAGGCATTACCAAATGTGACACACACATGATGTGGGCAAATGCTGTTGGAGCAGTGGTGCCTGGGGACTCCCCGGGGCGGGGGCAGGGTCGGCACAGACCTTCACCTTGTAGCAGGTGCAGCATCCGCGAAACGCAGCAGAGTGAAGTGCAGGAAGACGGGGCCTGCCTGCATTAGGCGTGACGCAGGTCTGGTAACTGAGATGGCTGCTAAGGGACAAGTAGGCGGGGTGTGTTGGACAAAGGGGTCATTCACACCCCGGGCCGGACAGAGTGAATAAGAGATTTCATCGTGCTGCTCAAAATGGTGTGCAATTTAACACCTACGAATTGTTGATTTCTAGAATGTTCCATGTAATATTTCTCGGTCAAGGCTGCCCTCGGGTAACTGAAACAGTGGAAAGCGATGCGTCGGGTGAGGGGGGCCCACCCCGCTGTGTTCCCAGGAGCTTTAGGAGGCCACGACATTGTCTTCAGTAGCAGGTCCCTGGGGAGGACCTCAGCCTGGCGCTGGGGCAGAGTTTTCAGTATGTGTTGCTTGCCCTTTTCCCCCTCCCAGGATAAATTAACCTTTGCTGTTCATGGGGCTGGATCTCCCATCTCCTGGTGGGTCAGGTTGGATTTTTTTGGGAGGGAGTCTTTGGTTAGGACTCAGTGTCACTTAACTCCAAGAGGATTCTGAGAGTCCTGGCCCTTGGTCAGAGTGTTTTTTCCTGTCCCCCTCAGGCCCGTCAGCTCATCCTGCAGTACGGCTTAACTCTCAGTGACCTGGACCGACACCCAGAGGTAAGGGAGTCAGGCTGCTGCGTTTTTCTGGCGCCTTTTTCGTGGCTGTCACTTGTTCATGGGCTCTGGATATCTTGTCAAGTCTCGGAGAAAGGTTAGCCGTTACTAGCTTTTCTCCTGGGACTTTGAATATTAACCTTGGCTGAGGTCCCGAGTGGGGAGGTGGTTAGTTCCCAGCACATCCCTGTGGTCTAACCGTGAGGGCTCAGGGACCCAGGGTGTCTGGCAGTCCTTGTTGAGATGTGTAAGAGCAAGCCGGCCCACGGAGCTCACCACTAAGTGGCGATAAGGAGTGATCATCCCAGGCAGCCATGGGCGTTTGAAACCGAGTTTTATGGTGAAGACGATTAAACACACGGGCAGCCCAGAGGCGACTGAAGGCGGTGAGAGTGAGCCGCGTGCTCACAGTGGTAGCTTGTCCTGAGCCCTCACCACATGGCAGGTATCATGCTGCGTGCTGGGCCTGCATTAAACGATGGTCATCGCTCGGTGTCCTTGGGGGGCTGGTTCCTGGACCCACTGCAAGTACCGCAGTCCACAGGTGCTCAGTCATATCGCACAGTTGGCCCCCTGTGTCCGCGGTCGCACCCCTGCAGATGCGGCCAGCCTTGGATTACGTCGTGCTGTGGTACGTGCTTTGTGGGAAACCAGTCTGCCTCTAAGTGAGCCTTCTCCGCTCACATCTGCATTGTTCAAGGGTCAACTGTATCTAATCTCCAGCAGTCTCGAGGGTAGACACCATTACTGTTCTGTGTTACAGGCGCGAAAAAGGCACAGAGAGGGCAAGCCATGCCTTTTGTAAGTGGCAGAGCCTGAATATGAATTCAGGTGCTTCTCGCTCTAGAGCGATGCTGCTTAGGTGGGTTTTGTGGGAAGAGGTAAAGTTTGAGCAGGGCCCTGAAGGCCAGGTGGCAAGGGCAGGAGAGAACATTCCAGAGAGGGTGGATGGGAACCATGGGGACAATTCCAGGCAGGCGTGTGGGTGTATGTGGACAGGGCTCAGACGGGCTGGGGTGCCTAGGACTGGGTGAGTGGAATGTGATGGTGCCCAGTGAAGAGGGCACGGCCGAAGGGAAGAGGGGTGGGATTTTGGCAGCTTGAAAATGAACTTGATGGTGGTCTACTAACCTATGTTCTCCTGGTACACGTGGGCCACGGAGGGGTTAGTAAGAACCATGGCTTGCTGGGAGATTTCTGTGGGTGGAGCTGGGCACAGGCTGAGTCAGCTGTTCAGTGCTGTGAGGAGAGTGGTTTGGGCTGAGGTGGGCCTGGAACCAAACAGAAAAGGTCAAAATCTTCTAGGCCCTGGAGAGCTGCCATGGTGCCACCAGACCCTGGGGTTAGTGCAGGGTGGGGAGGAGCAACGCGGGCTGTGACTTTGTCTTTATAAAAGGATGGAAGCGAGAATGTCCCGCTAAAACTTGGTGGGATGTCGTGTCGTGCCGTGCCGAGCAGCTTCTAACTGCACCTTGAACTGAATTTGTACCCTGAGGTTTTATACTGCTGCTTTAAAAACCCTTGTTTGAGGTTCCCTTATTGTCCACGCAGGGTGCCAGGAGTGACGAGAAATACGCAGCTTCCTTGATTTCAAATTTTGAAAGATGAATGAATCCATTTCCCTCTTGACTGCCTTTGGGGCTGGCACTGGAGCTTCCTAATACAGAGGGAGCGGGCGGGCCAGACAGGTGCTTTGTTGGGGTCACAGTGGGGCCATCTGAGATAAGCTCCAGTTCTGGATCATATCAGGTGTGTGCCACCTTTATAGCTCTCGGTTGGGTCTTCTGTGTCCTCTCAAACTGGCTATTTTTGCCACATTAGTATCGAGATGCACTGAATCAGTGTTTCTCAGCCTTTTCCCCATTATTGCTCACTCTCCGGTGAAATTTTAATTCCACGGATACACTAAGTATCTGTTTCTGAACTTGGAGGTGAAGTTACTCATGTTGAGACTGCGTGCTGGCGGTGATGCCAGCGCGTCCACAGAGAAGCCCAGCGGGGAGTAAAGGGAGGGTGACGTTGTGGAGCTGGACGCAGATGGCGTTCCCACGTTTGTTTCCTGGTGACCCTGGTGGCATAGCTTAGCCTCTTAGCGTCTCAGTTTCTGGGTGGGTTAAATCGGAACATCCGTACCTGGCGGTAGGGGCTGCTGGGATCTGAGGAGCCGTTGCGTGTTCAGGCTTAGCGCAGAGCCTGCCCTCTCAAGGCTCTAAATGGTTTTTGTCTCTTTCTTTCCCTCAACGCAGATCGACCTCGCCATCGACGGCGCCGATGAAGTAGATGCTGATCTCAATCTCATCAAGGGCGGGGGGTGAGTGGCGGGACTGTTCTGCAGAGTATTATCTGCCAGGCAACCCCTGGCAAGGCAGAGTGGAGCGCAGTGAATGCATGGCCGCTGTGATGTCTGTGACTTTGTCTTTCCGCCGGGACGCTGATAGCATATGGCCCTAGGGCCAGCCTGGCATTTCTGTCATTAGCAGCAACCTGCTGACCAGGAACCTGGGCCTCCTCAGTGAGATTATTCATCCCAGTGGATTCTCAGTGTCCACCCCTTCCGCTGATTCAGACTTTAAACACTGCACAGGCTGAACCAGGCATACCGCTGGGGCTACATTACTAGGTCTGTGGGCACCAGTGTGCGATCCTTGCTTTAGAGCTGCTCCTGCCTCCGTGAGCAGTTAGTGATGTGTGTATTCATTCATTCGGAAAACATTTATCGGGTGTTTCTTAAGTGTTGATCTGGGGTGGGGGTGTGGGTGTGGGATGGTTAGGGAACAGTGAGTTGAAGAGGGGGAAGCCCCGGGCTCCTGGTTCTCATGAGCAGGCAGACTGTGGAAAGACACAGAGTAAAATCTCACTGTACCCTCTCTCCACTTCATCACCCTGACTGTCAGATAGGGCAGGTTGTTCAAGGCTTGTCCTTCCTTCTCAAGTTATAGCGCCACGCCTCACGCCTCATGCTGTGCTCAGATGACTTCTCCCTAAGCACAGTCAGTGCTTCCTGGCAGATGCCTCTTAGACAGGGTTGTGCCCTGCCCCCCGGGAACCATTTCTCCCACATGCAGGCTCGTATTTCCATGGTCCATTTCCTGGAAGCGGTGTGTCTTAGCTCGGGCCTCCATAGCAAAATACATTAGACTTGGTGGCTTCAACAGAAACATTTATTTCTCACGGTTCTGGAAGCTGTAAGCTTGCAGATGATTCGCATGGTGGGGAGAGAGCAAGAGAGCTTTCTGGCATCTTCTTAAAAGGATACTAGTCCTATCAGACCAGCGCCCCATTTTTGTGACCTCATTGAACCATAATTACTTCCTTCTTCCAGAGACAGTCACACTGGGGGTTAGGACTTCAACAAGTGAATTTTTTGGGAGGGAGGACATAGTTCAGCCCATTGCAGGGTCTGATGGGGTTGGGGATGTTCCTTTAAAAATTAAAAACTAAATTTCTCTGTAAGTGCCAGAATTGAGTGGATTTTGGTTTCTTGGATCTGACCTTAGTTTCCCGATTCAGTTTTTGTCTAACTTACCCCTGTGTTAATTCTCCCCCATCCCAGAGGCTGCCTGACCCAGGAGAAAATTGTGGCTGGCAACGCCAGTCGCTTCATTGTGATCGCCGATTTCAGGTATGATGTTCGGTTTCTGAACTGTCCACCGAGGAGGTAGATCAGATCAGATCCCAGGCCTCACTTTATAGAGGAGAAGTAGAGAAATGGAGGGCCTGTCTGACTTTCTGTGGCTTGGGACAGTGTCTTGGAGGCTTATGTTCTGCTCTCGTGCTGAGGGTGGATACGGCTCTTTCACGTGTCCATTGGGAGGAGGAGGAAACAGCTCATCATCTTGTTAGCAGAGTGCATCCCGTTTACCGCCCATTTGCTCCAGGCGGTGAGTCCGCACCCTGCTTCCTCTGTGTCACGGGACTTGTGCCATGGGCAGTCTTTGACCAGGCTCTCTCATTCTCCTTCACGGAGTCTAGTAGAAGGCACTTGAGCCGAGCATATGAATTTGAAAACAAAATGTATTTACTTATGAATTGCTACAGCTGTATAATTATTATACCTGTATAACCACAAGCTGGTCATACTCAGTTTTAACACTTTTGTCATATTTTCTTCAAATGCTTTTCTTAAACGATGAAATAGCCAGTAGGTTTGCAGCCCTGTCCTCTCGTCCCCGCTCCCTTCGCTTGCCCTCTCGCCTTGCAGTTAGCCCCTGGCCTGAGCTGGGTGTGCACCTGCGCCGTCGCACTTGTGTACATTTGTTGCATTTTTGACTTTCCAGGAAGGATTCAAAGAACCTCGGGGATCAGTGGCACAAGGGAATCCCCATCGAGGTCATCCCCATGGCCTATGTCCCCGTGAGCCGGGCCGTGACCCAGAAGTTCGGGGGCGTGATTGAACTTCGAATGGCTGTGAACAAGGCAGTAAGTGCTCAGGGAGGGGCGTTCCAGGTTCTCAGCGCAGGGTCCTCCTTCCTGCTTCCGCTAATTCTTCTGTGTCTAGACTGGGCAGTCGGCTTCTGTTTGTTTATTTTTAATCCCCAGACTAACTGTGGTTACGGGCAGAACTACGTTAAAAAGTTTTGAACATAAAGAAAAGAAAGCAAATTAGCTGTAACTCTGCCCTGATGAATTTTTATTTTGTTGTGTTTTCCTCCTGGTGTTTTGTGATGACTTCTTCAAAATCATGGTTCTAATCCTAGTGGTTGTGCAGAGCCCTGACTCTGGCTCCCTGCGAAGCTGAAAGGCGGAGAGGGCATCACTGAGGTTCTCTCTCAGGGCTGGGGTTCCTCCACAGGGACCCAGCACCCGCCTTCGTGGGCTTCCTCCATGGGCTCCCACCCTTCCCCAGCGTGCAGGGGAGTCCTCCTTTCCATGCTCTGGCCACATCTGTGGTCCTGAACACTTTCTAGTGCCCAACGCTATTGAGGAATTCTGGGTTTGTTTGTTTTTTTAATTGAAGTATAGTCACTTTACACTGTTGTGTCAATTTCTGGTGTACAACATCATGTTTCAGTCATACATGAACATACATATGTTCGTTTTCATATTTTGCATTATAGGTTACTGCAGGATATTGAATAGAGTTCCCTGTGCTATGCAGAAGAAATGTGTTTTTTGTCTATTTTATATACAGTAGTTAGTATAAGGAATTCTGGATTAATGAACTACCCCCAGCCTGTTTGACCCCGTACCCCATCTCCGCCCCCGTCTTCGGGTGGACTGCCTTAGGGGAGCACTGTCTTGCTTTGCGTAGTGGTGGTTCTCAGTGTGATGCTGTGGGGATGCTGGCCGTGTTGGTGGTCTGTCCTGGTGCTGTAGTTCTTCACCCTAACAATAGCTAAGAATTGTTGAGTCCTCACTGTGAGCCCTTGCTGTGGTTTATGTATAGGCTGCCTCACAAAGTCCGTTTTATCGTCCCTTTTTTGCAATTGGGGAACCGGAGGCTGTCAGAGGCTTACGGCTTCTGTGAGACCTGTGCCTGTGCGGCTCCAGGACTCCAGCTCTGACTCCAGGTCCCTGCTTGTCACTGCTCCGTAGCCCTGCGTTCTGGGAAGCAGGCGGTGGGCGCGCTGGTCAGAGCAGGTTAATTGAGGTCCCTGTCTTTGGCTCTCACCCCCGCTTTCCTGTCCCTCTCTGCCCTCCTGTGTCTACATCCCCTGTAAATGCGGGACATTGCTTTCTAGGGCCCCGTGGTGACGGACAACGGGAATTTTATCCTGGACTGGAAGTTTGACCGGGTACACAAATGGAGTGAAGTGAACACAGCTATCAAAATGCTCCCAGGTAACGTGAGCGGCCTCTACCGAGCATAGATACCCGTGCCCTTCCTGACTGTCCCCGCCTCCGGCCACAGGAGGCACGATGGGTGGGGGCTTTGAAAAGACTTGGTTGGAAAGAAGGATTTCCTTTATACCACCTTTGGGGTTTCTAATTTCACACCTTTGCACTCCCACCTCCGCTCTCCCTCCCCTCTGAATGGCCCCTGCTCACCTCGCAGCTTTGTTGGTTGGCGTTCCACGACCCATTTCAGCTGGGATGGGTCTGGAGCGGCGGGGGCTTGGCTCGCCTTGAAATAAGCCCCCCCTCTGCAAAGAGCCTTTCCTCCCAGGAGTTTGGCTGCAGCCTCTGATTTGGGCGGGCTCTCTTAAGCGCTGGGGAGGAAGGACTCAGTTCCCCCATATTCATTAGGTACGTGCCGTGGGCAAGGTGCTGCCCCGTGTTATAGGGGATGCTCCCGTTGGTAGAACGGGGGATCTGCCTCGAGGAGAGTTGGTGTGAACCTGGGCAGAGCTGGGAGTGGCTGCGTAGAAGCTGTGCCCACCGAGAAGGTGGAGTGTGCTCGGTTCCGCTGGAGGAATAATACCGGGAGTGCAGAGCGGCTGCTTCTGGGCCGTGTGGGGGAGTTCCACGGAGGAGAGGTGGCTTCTGACCTGCTTCTTAGCACAGAGTAATCTGGCCATTGTGCTAAGTGTTTAAAGATGTCTCGTTTGATTCTCCAGTTTGATGAGATAGTTGTAGAGGAGGACATGGCTTGAGGAAGATGAAACGATTTGCCCAAGGGCCGCAGCACCAAGATGGGGGCCCAGGTTATCTGCCTCTGGACCCTGAACCTTTAGTCCTTCTGTCCTCGAGAGTCAGGTGTAGGAGGGGTTGTGTGACACAAACGTTTAGAGCAGCGAGGAGCCTCTGCTGCAGCTGGGACCCGGGACCCGGGACCCGGGGCCCTGGGTGCAGGCTGGGAGGGCAGAGTAGAGGTGAGTCAGGAGCCAGGCCAAGGGTGGTATTGAGGGCTCGTACGAGGAAATTGAAAAGAGGCAGGTGTAAGAGAGCTCTGTTTCATGATACGGAGCGGCTGAGGTTCTGACTGGGAATATTCCATGACATGGAGAGTTCTTGGGCCTGAACTGGCTAATGGGAAAGGTAAGCAGACTGTAGTGACTAGGAGTGGAGTCTGGAGCAGACAGTCTGGGGGAGGATCTGAACCCTGTCAGTATGACCTTTGTGGCCTTAGTTAACGTCTCTGTGACTCAGTTTCTTCCTCTGTAGAGGAGGCTATTAGTACCTACCTCATAGGATTGTTAGGAGGATTAAATAAGTTAAAATGGTGTCCCAGCACACACGAGAGTGTTTGCTGAATGACTACATCCCTAAGAAGAAAGGATGCTGTCTTCACCATAACCCACTGTGCTGGGTGAGATTCTAATTTACCCATGCTATTTGGGAATGAAATATATATATAAATGTATATTTTATATATATACATATATATATATATATAAAACAAATATACATGATATAATACCTTTAGTCTTCCAACCTTTAGTCTACTGATTTAGTTGTCTATTGACAATCTTTTTCCCCAGATTTGCTAAGTAAAAAAGATGAGTCGCATTACACATATTCCCTCACTTAGTGCTATCTTTTTAGTGAAGAACTGAAGAACCAAGAAGGCAGGAGGATGAGAAACCTAGGGGTCACTGTTAGTGACAGGAGAATAGCCCCTAATGGTAACGCAGACAAAGCCCAGGGTGCGAGCAGGGAACGGCCCACCGGTCCCGACCCTGTCCTCCTGGAGGTGGATTTCTCGCAGTGCCCACTAGGTAGCTCTCTTGCACCTGCTCAGAGCTTTCTTGCTTGTTGAGAGACACTGAGATGTCCTTCGTGAGCACGTTTCCCCTGTACTTGCTCTCCGCCTCAGGAAGTAGAAGCTTCGTCCTGGAGAAGTTCAGTTTTATTAGGAACTTAAAGTGAAGAAAATGAGAAAAGGGAGGCTAGATACTAAATCAGTTCAGTGCCGCAAGGATCATCGTCTCTCTTTTCTCACCCTCTTTGGTCTGTGGCAGTACTTGCTGCTGGACCAGGTCAGGGGAGGAGAAACAGAGCAGGCTTCCCTGTCTAGCCCTGTCGCCCTGCCCTGGCCCCGTGGGTGTTCGTGGACACGAGGATGCTTAGAGGATAGCTGAACTGGTGCCTGGCTGGTCACGCCCCGGATGTTCCGTTGCTTCCACCCAGAACCAGAGCTGAGCCGCCTCTGCCCTTTCCACCAGCTTCGGGGTGGGAGAAGGGGTGGGTCAGTCCGTCCCAGCACCTCAGTAACCTGGAGAGAGGTTGCTCTAGATCAGACCTTGGACCGCTGCCACGCATCTCTGCTGGCTCTCTGAAGCCTTTTCTGAACGTGGTTTGACTTTCTCTTGGATCTGGTGGGAGCTGTCACCTGGTGGTAGAGTTTTTGGAAAGGACGGGGCTTGAGGGCCACTGTGCTTGTCTTTGGGGGGCTCGCAGTGGTGCCAGGGGCCTCCGGGTCTCAGCAGCTCTTCTCTGCCTGATGCCTTTTTATTGCCAATGGACGATTTTGTTTATGTGTTGGGGGCTGTCTTTGAAAGTTTTACTTTTGAATTTATGTGGTTCCACATTGCAAGAGTAAACCGTGAGACGTGTCTTCCTTCCACCGCTCCTGCGTGGAGGCACCCACCAAGATTGTGTCCTTCTTGAGTTTCTCCTTCATGAATGCAAACAGCCTCCCCCCTTCCCTTTTAGTCGAGTGGTAGCAACTGGATTCGTGTTTTGCTTCCTACTGTTTCCCATCTTGGAGATTATCACATTATGGTTCACAAAAGAGCTTCCTCATTTTTTTTTAAACAACTACATGGCATTCCATTTTTATGGCTGTCATATTTATTTAACCAGATCCCACTAGCAGATATTTGTTTCCATTCCTTTGCTAGAAGGGAGTTACTAGATCAAAGGCTACATGTGTCCAGTTTTGCCAGATGGTGCAGAATTGCCCTCCACGGACGGCACCATGTTACCTACTTCTGCCAGCAGCGGATGCAGGTGCCGCTTCTCCCACAAGCTGGGTCCATCCAGCTTGTTTTTTCAGTAGTTGATCGGTATTATCTCATTTTAGTGGATGTGTCCATATGTAAATATTTCTGGTAGAGGTTGCTTACAACAGCGGTGGTTAACTCTCATCACTGAGTAGTGGACCATCGTATTTATGTGTGTGGAAAAAAATACTTATGTATCTGTTCTACTCTTGATGGACGTTTGGGTGTTTCTCCTAGTTTTTAGCTATTAGTAAAAGTGTTGCTATGAACATTCTTACACCTCCTGTCTTTTGAGGACCATATACACGCCTAATAGTTGCTTATATAAAAGGGGTAAGGAGTAAAGTTGCTGAATCAACAGGTTTGAATACGTTCAGCTTTAGAAGAGGCACCAATAAACATTTGCCAAAGTGATTTTGCCATTTTGCTCCCTCGTCTCTGTGTGGGAGTGTCTTGTCACATTTCATTGTATTCATTCTGGTGAGTGTGTGGTGGTGTCTTGTTTTAATTTGCATTCCCCTTTGACTAGTTTGCCATTTTTTTAATGTTTGTTGGCCGTCTTGGATAACCTCTTGTAAAGTACCTTAAGTCTTTTGCCCACTTTTTCACTAGGTTGTCTGTCGTCGTATTGATTTGGAGGGTTTATGTGTTTTCATGCGGTATATGCATTGCAAGTGTCTTCCAGCACTCTGGGGGGAAAACTTCTAAGACTGAGAGAGTGATTGAGAGTCGCTAGGAGTTGGAGTAATTAGAGTGCTCATGGAGGGCCGCTCTGGAAAGATGACTTGTCATCTGATATCTGAAGGGCAGAGACGACCCAGCCCCTTGAAGTACTCAAAGATCGTTGTGGAATTCAAAGAGAATAGCATGAGCAAAGGCCCTGAGGCAGGGAGAAGCTTGGCACATTTGAGTACAGAGAGAAAGCCCAGATGGCAGGCGAGAAGGAATTCAAGAAGTGAAAATGATCAGCATCTCTTTTCGTTGTCACGCGTGAGAGAAGGTGCTATTTGTCACCTGTCCAGTGCTGCTCATGGTGGTTGCCCCGCTGGCCCCTGGCCCCCGTCCCCTCCTTGCCCTGGGAAGCTGAAACATAATGCTTCTTTCCGCCCTGGGCCCTGCAGGCGTGGTGGACACGGGCCTGTTCATCAACATGGCCGAGAGAGTCTACTTCGGGATGCAGGACGGCTCGGTGAACATGAGGGAGAAGCCTTTCTGACCCGACCCTGCAGGAGCGGCGTGTGTTCATCTCGAGTCCCCGGCCCGCGGCCGAGGCGGACACGCCTCTCCAGGAGCCTTTGCCTTAATGTATCTGTGCCAGGCGGACAGCTTGGCAGGGCGGGGGGTGAGGGGCTTACTTCCAGTCTTCTGAAGTATTGTTATTAAATGTCTTTTTACAAAGAGAAATATAAACATATATATTTTTACTATTAAAAATACTCAGCTTTTTTTATGAAGTAGAACTTGATTTCATGTTTTATATGAAATATTTACCAAAAATAAAAAGAGAAGAGGACTGACTTTTAAACTTTTAACTGAGCCTGCTGGTTAAGCTTCTGAATATTGGGTTTGCCGAGAAATGTAAATCGCAGCTTTTCTTTAAACTAGTGAAATGAAGGGCCCGGCCAGCAGTAGTTCCCTGATGCCTTACTGGAAACTTCGACGTATGTTTACTTTTCTACCACACTGTTTTGGTTTTAGTTTTTGTTGTGATCACGCACAATGTATATTTATGTGTTTTAAGATGTGATTTACATAAGTCTGCTGATTGTAGCAACGTGGTATGTAGTGACTCAGAATGTGTAAATTTTCAGGGGGGAAATGTGGGGGCTCTTTTGCTGAGATCAAGGGGTTCATTCAGACCCCTGTGGTTGGAAGCAATTGGCCAGAGTTCCTTGCCAGTACTGCCAAAGCACTGCTGTGAAGCACCTGTAAATGACTGTCTTGTTTGTTAATGTTTTTTGTTGTTGTTGTTCCTTTATTATTACTTGCATGGTCTGGCATCAGAAGTTGTTACCTCTTTATATTGTCTGAGGGTTGAAATAAAACAGTATGGTGCCGTTTTGACTCTTTGTCTTTACTGTACAATTTGTGTTAGTTTTGCAGTAAAGCAGGAATCGATTTTGCTCACCCAGTTTATGTTGGATCTTTGATAAGAGGTGGAATTCACTCAAGAAATCTTGAGCCAAACAGTAGGTAAGTATTTCCTTTATTTCTGAGAGACCTTGATGTCAGTTTTACTCCATAGACCTTTGTCAAACAAGAAATTGATTTTCTTTATGAATAGAGGATAACACAGCTGAACAAAAGTCACAGATTATACTAGTCATACCTTTAGTCTTGGGAGCTGACAGGTGGTAAAATGAGTAACATGCCTTTCCTCTGTTCTCCCAGCCTGTGGTCGTCACAGCGTGCCTGGTGAGCGCCTAGTGAACCGTCCAGATAGCCTCATAGAGGGGACGGGAAAGGCCGCGATCGGCTCAGTGATGATTCTAGATGGGGCCTGGGCCTCCATCCTGTTGTAAAGGTGTTTGTGCTGAGTGTCCTGATACCCCCCGTGCTGACTTTGCACGGTACTTGGACAGTCATTTCACTCGCCTGGCCCTCTGTTTTGAAGCTTGGATTATAGCCACCAAACTTACCGGCATCTAAATTCCTGCTAAATCAAGCTGCAGAATTAAATTTGACCAGCCAGAACTGAGCAGTGAAGAGGCTTGCTTTTCTTTGCTGAATTCCTTCCCTTTTACTCTCAAGGGGCTCTTTAAACATGAGCTGCCTCACACATTGTTGGCACACCTGTTAGGAGCGCTTTCTTTTTCTTCAAGCCTATTTTCATCTGGATGATAGGAAATTTTTGCACAAAGTGGGCACCAGATCTTAGCTGAGAAAACTTGATAGAACTGACTTTGAAATGATCTTTTAAGCTTGTGTGGCATGGATTAAATTCAAGGGTACAAATAAACAGCCATATCCAACTGGGTTTCCGAGAAGCACCTGCACACGGCCCCGTACACGTCAGTGCTCAGTGGGTTTCATGGGCGTTCACACCTGTGACCCAACTGCAGTTCCCCTGCGTTAACGTGAGGTTTTCCTTCTCTTGAAGAAAACAAAACATCTGCTAGGCTGTAGACACACACAGCAGTTGGTTCTAGACGTAAACTTTGATTAGAGTTTCTTCAATAAAATTGTTAGTAAATGTGATCTCATTGGATGGAAACAATTTGCAGGCTCATGATCAATCTGAGGGGCACAGGGCAAGGTGCAAGTGTGATGTTTGGGAAAAGTTTGTAACCAAGTTGAGCTGCTACATTTCTGGGACGCATCAACGGGGGAAAATCACATGGATTTGAATCAGAACATTCAATTTTGATTTCATCTAGAGCTTATAAAGTTTTTCTTTATTGAAGTATAGTCAGTGTGCAATGTTAATTTCTAGCATACAGCATTAATTTCTACATGTATATATTCCTTTTCATATTCTTTTTCATTATAGGCCATTACAACATTGAATGTAGTTCCCTGTGCTGTACAGTAGGACCTGGTTATTCATTTTATTTATAGTGATTAGTATCTACAGATCCTGAACTCCCAATTTATCCCTTCTCACTCCCTTTCCCCCTAGTAACCATGTTTGTTTTCCATGTCTGTGAGTCTATCTCTGTTTTGTAAATAAGTTCATTTGTGGGCTCTTTTTTTTTAAGATTCCACATATAAGTGACATCATATGGTATTTGTCTTTTTCTTTCTGGCTCATTTCACTTAGAATGATGATCTCCAGGTCCATCCATGTTGCTGCAAATGGCATTATTCTTTTTTATGGCTGAATAGTATTCACGTGTGTGTGTGTGTGTGTGTACAGCACAATTTCTTTATCCAGTCCTGGACATTTAGGTTGCTTCCATGTCTCGGCTGTTGTAAATAGTCCTACTATGAACACTGGGGTGCATGTGTCTTTTCGAATTACAGCTTCTTCCCGGCGCATGCCCAGGAGTGGGACTGCTGGATCACAGGGTGAGTCTATTTTTAGTTCTCATAAAGTTGTGATACTCTCCAATCATCAAGCTTTTTCTGAGTCCCTATCATGTGCCAATTCTTAGAGGGGATTAGTGGCAGGGAGGTGTGGGGGACAGAGGCAAGTAAGACACTGCCTGTGTTCCGGATGCTTCCAGCCTGTTGGTTAAGGCAGGCAGGTTGATGGAATTGTCAGCACCTTGGGGAAGAGGGGCCATGAGGTGGCAAAAGTGGTTATCAGGTGGCTGGAGACGGAGCCCTACCTGCCATCACTTACTGCGTGCCAGGGGCTGTCCTGGGCCTTGGGCCTGTCACCTCACAGCAACTTTATAGCGTTTGTTCCCTTAATTTGTGGAGTGAGAAACAGGTTCAGTTAAAGTAACTTGTTCAGATCATACCCAGGAAAGCAGGCCAGACTGCTCTGGCTCATGATTCCAGGTGGCTGCAGGGCTCTGAAGTGTTTGGGTTCCTTTGTTGTATCCATCATTTGTAACTTAAATCACAAGTAATCTGTAATTTGTGTAAGTACTGAAGTTAGTGAAAGGTTTAGTATGTGTACGTGTGTACGTGCACAGGCTCGGGGAACCCTGTGATAATGATTAGGTGATGCTTTTCCATGAGCTTTCTTTAGTGGGAGAAAGGAGCCGGCCGGTGCCCGACCCGGGCTTGGCCGGGGAAGGCCCTCTGTGGGGATCATCCTTGCTGCCACCACTGATCTTCCCCCTCCCGTACCCCCTTCCTTTCTGTCCCCAGGCCGGGGGTTACTGCACAGTGGCGACCACGGGCTCTGCTACCTGGGGAAGGACTTATGGCTGAGGATGGTTAGTTCCCTGTAGCCAAAGATGCTTCAGAACACACAGCTGGACAAAGTTGGTTTTGTTGACCCATCGAATGAAGGGAGTCACGTGCCCTGGAGGGTCTCAGTCCGAGGGTGTTCGGATTTAGAGGATTTAGGCTTTTGGGGATTGGAGGGAGGGCTCAAGGAAGCGGGGCCTTCTTCTGGATTCGATGTTGTCAGAAAGCAGGAGAACCTTGTGATCAGGCACCTTGATGTTCACGGAGAAGAACGGAGTGAGGCTAAAGGCTGGGATCCACAAAGAAGCGGTGGTCACTGGGCCTCGGGGTCGGGGGGCACGTGGGTCCTCTTTGGGGTTTGGATGATGTCTGTGTTTTGTCTGTGTTTTATGGAGACATAAGTCAGGGAGTCATCTGATGTTTGTCATCACAGCTGCAAAGTGGCCTTGTCTGATGGTGTCCTGGGAAGTTGTTGAGGACCCACAGGAGAACACGCAGCCTCGCCGTGGGTGCCAGGCCAGCTCAGAGCTACCCAGGCCAGGCCGCCAGTCTCCGCTGCCAGGGGCTGCGTGTCTGTCTCAGGGTGCGCTGACCCCAGGATCCGAGGGCCTGGATGTTCTGTGACCAAGTCTTCCCTTCTGTTTGATTAACAGGCACTGAGCACTTCCTGTGTCCTGAGCCTGGGGGGGGAGGGGACAGGCCACAGACACCCCGTGCTGTGGCTCCAGCCTTCAGAGGCTTCCTTGGCGCCATGACTGTGCCTCAGGCCTTTCTTCTCAAATGCCTGACTTCGCTCACTTCCTGTCCGGATTTAGGGCTGCGCCAGCCTTCACTCTCCACTGCCCCAGCCGTCAGAGGATGCTTGTGACCTGGGCTCAGTGCCTTTGCCTTTTTAGTCACCGGGCTGTATTGCAGGACAGCAAAACTCTGCAATATAGCCTCACATTCAAATGTGCCCGAGTTGATTTATGCAGACAGACATCTGTAATGATGCTCTGGGACGGATGGAGGTGTGGTGGTTAGCGTGGGCGGTGGGGAGGGGTGGAACTCAGAGGGGGAGGGAAAGGGAAGGTCTTCCCTGGAAAGGCCACCCCAGGGTTCTGTGGACAGTGCCTTCTGCAGACTGGGTGAATCAAGTGAATTCAGCATTGAAACCCCATTCTCTTGTCCGACCACTGAGAACATCTCTGCTCAGCCGCGAGGTGGGAGAGGAGCAGCCTTTCCGGGGATGGAAGCCCCGGCTGCCTGCATCTCTGTCGGCCTCAGCCCCTGAATGTCTCTGTGATGACAGAGGGAGTTCCCAGGTTCAAGGGCATTCCAGCCTGAGCTTCAAACCGAGTTGTGCTCATCCTCATTTTATTTCAGAAGCTGTGGGTCTCCAGTCCCTGATGAGTTCAGTTCAGATCAGAACCCTGATCCGAGTTTAGTTCTGCTTGGCCCCTGTTCCTGGGCCAGCCATGCTGCCTTCTGTTTGTCTGCGGACCCGAGAGAAGCCGTCACGAGGTGGCAGCCCACAGGGAGCACAGGCGTGGTCGAGAACAGCGCTGCCCAGGGGGAAGTGAGCCGCATTTGTAATTGTGACTGTCCTGGTAGCCGCACTACAGAGGTAAAAAAACAACAACAAAAGCAAAAAACAGAAACTAACAAAAAACTCGGACAAATAAATTTTAATAAGGCATTTAACCCAACAAATCTAAAATTTTTTTTTACCTATAATCAATATTTTACTTTTGTTTTGTACTAATTCTTCAAAATGTCGTGAATATTTAACTTCAGTACATCTCATTTTGGACTAACTACTTTTTTTTAAGATTGTATTTTTTTGTTGTTGTTGTTTAGGAGTTTTGCATTATTTTTATTTAAAAAAAATTTAATGGAGATACTGGGGATTGAACTCAGGACCTCATGCACGTTCAGCACGTGCTCTACCACTGAGCTATGCCCTCCCCACCAAAAGAGCCACATTTCCAGCGCTCAATAGCCACACGTGGTGAGTGGTCACAGGACTGGGAGATGCGGCTCTAGAAGTGAATGGGGACTTTGGTGGTGTCCTTGTTCTGGCTTCTTAAAGGCCCCTTTGATTTCTGGGAGCAAGCCTCGGTTCTCTTGTGGCCCTTGGTGGTTCTGAGAGCCCACAGAGAGCTGAGTCAAAGGGAAGGCTCCCCACTGGGGTCCACTCAGTTGCCCCAGTTTGAACTGAGACTTTTGTGCCTCCAGCAGATGACCTTTTTGACCTTATACGTGACCTTCACTCCAGAAAA